ATTAACAACAGAATATTCTTAAACAATTAAACTCGACGGAATCCATTAGGCATCTTCAGTGCAATGTCTGCTTCAAAAACAGACATGGTTGCTTAAATACCTTATGCATCACGTTGTTAATGCCTTGGTCTTTTAATCGTACTAGTGTATGTGGTTGTTTTTTAAAAGAAGCTGAAGGCGCTTACAAGCAATTGTCGCTGTAGAAAGTACAAAACGAGAAAACATTGGATTTCTTCTTTCAGTGTCTATCGATTTACAAAATGTTCTCGGGAAATAAATTTAGGTCTGGCTTCAGTTTGTTTAATGACAGAAGTGTGGCAGCTCTCGTAAGCTTGTAATTCTCCAGGGCTGTTGTTTTTTCTATTGTCCTCTCAAATGGTATCAGGCCATTCATGTGAGACCTTACGAGAGCTGTTACCCGACTCTCTAATGATCGTCTATTTGCCTTACGAAGTGGTAAAATCAATTTAAATTACTTTTTTTTAAAGATTGTTATTGAAAATATTTTATTTTTATTTCTAGGAAATGTGGGCGTGAGGTCAATTCTGGGGCTGTAAAGAGTTTAGGTGTGACAACCATAACGCTTGTGAAGAACAAGTTTTATAACATGACCAACGCTGTGTAAAATAGTACTCAAATTCTCTCAGCAGAGCCTCTGCATGAAGTAATTTAGCGCCACNGGAATCCATTAGGCATCTTCAGTGCAATGTCTGTTTCAAAAACAGACATGGTTGCTTAAATACCTTATGCGTCACGTTGTTAATGCCTTGGTCTTTTAATCGCACTAGTGTATGTGGTTGTTTTAAGAAGCTGAAGGCGCTTACAAGTAATTGTCACTGTAGAAAGTACAAAACGAGAAAACATTGGATTTTTTTCTTTCAGTGTCTAACGATTTACAAAATGTTCTCGGGAAATAAATTTAGGTCTGGCTTCAGTTTGCTTAATGACAGAAGTGTGGCAGCTCTCGTAAGCTAGTAATTCTCTAGGGCTGTTGTTTTTTCTATTGTCCTCTCAAATGGTATCAGGCCATTCATGTGAGACCTTACGAGAGCTGTTACCCGACTCTCTAATGATCGTCTATTTGCCTTACGAAGTGGTAAAATCAATTTAAATTACTTTTTTTTAAAGATTGTTATTGAGAATATTTTATTTTTATTTCTAGGAAATGTGGGCGTGAGGTCAATCCTGGGGCTGTAAAGAGTTTAGGTGTGACAACCATAACGCTTGTAAAGAACAAGTTTTATAACATGACCAACGCTGTGTAAAATAGTACTCAAATTCTCTCAGCAGAGCCTCTGCATGAAGTAATTTAGCGCCACCCGCTGGTTACTTAGTTTCATATCTTACAGTATCCACAATTATGTTGGATAAATATATAACCTTACAGACAGAGTGGTTTTTAAAATGACTGATGATAAAGCCAAAACCAAAGACATCACAGGTGACCGAACACAACGAGATTAAAACGAGATGAGCCAATCAGAGCTCGAAGAAAACGTGTGCAACCGGCGCCAAGCGCGGGAAAACGTAATGGAGACAAGTCACTGTTTATTAGTCATACAGCTTGTTATCTTCCACTGAGCGGTTAAAGCATGTTTAAGAAGATTTGGACCAAAGACTAAGCTAAGCAAACAAGAAACCAGGAGGCAAATACAAAATTACTTTTGACAGTCGATCACAAACGGCCGCTCTAATTATGTTACAACTAGCAGTCAGTAAATGCCATAAAAAAGAATAGCAGCCATGTTTCCTAGCGTTTTGTTCCAAAGTATTCAAGGAAACCACTATAAATATGTATCTGAGGAAACGAAAATAGCGGCCATATTTCCTAGTGTTTTGGTCGAAAGTTTCCAAGGAAGCGACTAGAAAGACGTATCTGAGGAAACGTTGTTCCATAGATGTAGTGGAATATTCTTGTAAGACAGTATTTAATTTTGTAAAGCCTTAACTTTTAAAAGGCTGATAGTAAGTTTACGATCGCTTGATGTCCTCCGATTTAGAATAAAACTGAACACACTGACTTAAACCCTTGCTGCAAAAGTGTTGCCACAACGTTGTCTTAACATCGTGTTACATTTAAACTAACAGCTATCGAATTTCTGAAGAAAAGCCCTAGGAGTCTTCATAAGCTTCTTTCATCTTGTAGAGGAGGACAGAAGTGGGGTAAGAACCCCCGGACGGGGCGGGAACTATACGGGATTCGGGAGACAAATGGGCGGGACTTAGAGTATCCAAAGTGGAGGGTAACGGGGGGAAATATCGAAACTTTTTACAACATTGCGTACACTCTTTTTATAAGGATATATTTTATAAGAATATCGAGGTTGAAATTTGCGAAATCAAAAGAATATTTTATGAATAGACTCGAGGCTAAGATTTTGAAAAGAATATAATTTTGTGTGTAAAATATTTGTAACCACATTTATATGATTACAAAAATAGCCAAAAAACACCAGTAGCCGTATGTTCGATGTTAGTAGCATTTCTGCAAGATCTCGTATGTGTCACATCAGGCTTTATTGCCTGCAGTCTGGCTCAAAAATTACTTCAACGCCTCTAGACACAAAACACTTGAAATAGTGATACCCCGATACATTCTTAAACAGAAATGTTATATTTTTAGCCTGAAATCGGCAGAAAAAATAAGAATATTCAGCCTAGGTCAGAAAAAGCAATATTCATATTTAAAAAAATGGTGATAACAGCATTATAAATTAATTTAAGCCAAAAAAGTACAGAAAGTAAA